GGGGGGGGGGGGGGGGGCTTAAATAAAGAAAGCCCGATTATTTCCCCCCTCTTTCGGGGGACAGGGGAAGAATTTAACTTTTTTTTTTTTTAAGTTATGTGGAAGATCCGTTTTAGGATAAGATACATGCCAAGAAGGTTTCAAGTATTTCCCAGATAATGCAGAGTATGAGACTCGGGAAGCAACACCGCCCCGCCCCCCCCCGCCCCCCCGCGTTTCCTCTTCTCTAAACTACCATTCGGGTTGTCCCCCTCTGCCTTTCTTTGTCAACCCATCCAAGGCCACCTCCCTCGCTTGCCTTCTTTGGGGAGGCGTTTTTGGAGGGCCCCTCAAGACCACACCAGCCGTCTTCAGGTCAGTCGGGAAAGATCAGAAAGGTCAGTAAACCTCGGATTTTCCTCTCCCCCAAAACAGCCCCTCTCGACTCCTCGAACCGCAGGGATCTCTGCGGTCGGTTCCTTCAGTGTTTGTCAGCTTCGTCCTCAACCAAATTCCTATAAAAGGCAGTGCTGGTTTTGCTTCAGGACAAAAAAATAATGCGAAGGAAGAGGGCATAAATATTAAGCTATCCAAAACCACGTTTTGGACGATTGAACAGTAAGGTAAACAAAAGAAACGAAACGAAACCACAGCTTAACTCAGACCAATCCGAACAGTTCCCATGGCCATCAGCAGGGGGAGCAGAGCCGGGCTCTCCGAAGGTTGGGAAGAAAGTGAATGTCTGGAAGGGGTCGCTTCTTTCTACACACAGTCCTCCCCCTGAGAAAGAGGGAGGGTTACTATTTTTGGTCTACCGGGGCCCAGATCCATCCATTAAACTTTTGCAGCAGCAGCAGCAGCAGCAGCAGCTCCTCTCCCTTTTTGGATTCCATATTAAACCAGGGCCGTAACACCCAGAATCGTAACGACAGCGCTAGAAAAGCCTCCTGCTAGAGCTCCAGGTATGGCCCTCCCTTCCCTCCTTGTGCCCAACGGTTCGCTCCTGCCCCGGGCCACCCCGGCACAACAGCGCCCTGGAGGCCGCTGGGGGTGGCTGGTTATCTGGTCAAGGGAGCTTCCTCCCGCTGGTCCGGGGAGGGGACCGCGGTCTTGCTGAGCACGGCCGCCGAGTAAGGCAGGAAGCTGCTCTCCGAGCGCT